TAATTTAATAAAGCAAAGCAAAAGAAAAAATAAATACAAAAAATTAACAAAATATAAAAAAAAAATAAAAAAATATTTAATCAAACTAAATTAAATACAAAAAAAATTACTAAGGAAATAAAATTAAAATAAACAAAAAAACAAAAACTTTAAAAAATTTAAAAAAAAAACTACGAAAAACAAAAAAATTATAGAATATAAATTACATTTATAAAAATAAAATAATATAAAAAAAATTATATTAAATTTAAAACAATTTAAACATATTTATATTAAAGAAGCAAAAGAAATAAAGCAAAAATAAATAAATTTAAAAAAATGAAATTAAATTAAATAAAAAAACAATTACAAAATAAATTATGCATAAAGTAAACTAAAATCAAATAAAATACAGGAAAATAAAATAAAACATATTTAGATAAATAAAAATCAAACTAAAATTAAATAAAGTGAAAAATTATTCCAATTAATATAACAATGAAATGACAAACCTAAAATTATAAGCCCATTTAACTTAATTTATATATTATTAAGTGTAGTCAACACTTTTTTAGAAAACTGAGATTTAATAAATTAAAATAATAAAAAAAAATTTTTCTTCCGAAAAAAATAAAATAATTAAAAACAATTAATTTACCATCGAAAAACTTTTAAATAACGCGATACCTTGCTCATAGCTTCTAGCACCAACGCATTTTCCTCTGCCATCTGGGTGCTCCATTTATTCTCCCATTCCACTAACACATGCATTTTTGTATTTTTTCCCCCCTACTTCTCTGAATTCGTGTGCGACATAAACACAAAGCTGTGTTCCAGGGATGCTGTTCGTCGGCAAACGTTTTGTTGTTGCGTGGAAAACTCGAAGCCAACATAATAAGCGAAGTGAATACCGAATCGTACAAGCAGCGTTGCGTTATTCAGGCAGTACGGCACATTCGTTGTGTTGGCGTGCACGTGGTCGCAACAGAAACGCGCTTAAATGTACATCGTAAAATACTTGAACAGAATTAAAAGAAAAACAACAACAACATTATTGCAGCACCAACAATTTTCTGCATAAATTTTATTGTTGTCGCGCGCTTTTCCTACCAAACACCAGTGTGAATAGTAAAATAGTAGCATACTTGTAGGCGTGCGTATGCCTTGTGTATGTTTCAAGACTTTATGAGTGTATGAGTTCTAGTGTGTCGGCTGCTTTGCTGGTCACTTTGCGTTTCGCGCGAACTTGTCACCGTGAACTGAAGTGATTTATTGCTATTGTGTATGTGTGGGTGTTTGTATATGTGTGTTGCATATCTGTAGCAATATAGTTAAAAAGTGCAAGTGAAATGATTAGTTACTTGGCAGCCACTGCAGAAGTGTCTATTTTTTGTTGACTTAGATGAATTTTTGTAAGTGCTGACTGCTGGAATGCGAATTAAAAAAAAATAATATTTTTTTATAAGACGAACACATTAAGGAAATTTGAGTTTAAAATATAATGAACGTTAATAAGTGTAGAATTGTTTAAGCTTTCTTTATGTATTTAAACATTAAAATTTTATTAATGTTGAAGTTGAAGTTTTAGGCAGAATGCTTAAAAAACTTAAGCTAAAAAAATAAATAAGAAAAATTTGCAATTTTTTTTTGTTATTTATTTTAATGTCAATATAAAAACGAAGTAATTAAAAATCTCTCCCCGACAGCTTAAGGCATTATAAATAAATTATAACCTTAAAAATCACAAAAAATTTGTCTGCAAAATTGAAAAAAAAATATTTTAATTAAGAATATAGTGAAAGCAAGGACTTTTTTTTAACTTTTTTTCTTAATTAAAATTTTTTAATTTAAAAAAATACAAATGGGTTCAGGAACGTAAAAAAATCTTTTTTGCTAAATGTATGTATTTTAAACAACAATAATTTGTTAGCTCTAACCGTAATTGTCCATCTTCAGGCACACATAATTTTATGAGACAACTACTGATGTTATGTAAAAGGTGATGAAATGTTTTATGTTCTCTTCTGTTCCAATATTTACCAAATTCTAGACTATTTAACGGTACACTAACTCTCACTGTGAACGAACAAATGAAATTTTTTAAATAAAAACGAAAAATATTTATCTTGCTCATTAGAAAGGTGGTTTAGGAACCCTGGGTGGCCATATCATTCATATCCCTCAAGGCAAGTTATTGAAGAAAAAGATAAACGAAATAAATTTATATTTTGTACTAACAAACCTTATCGAAAATAATATTGAACGTCTAATACGAGGAGCGATTAATTTCTTTTCAAACTATACAGTGCTATCCATTTTGCGTTTTCGAAAATAAAGATAAATTTTTTTTTTTTGACGTGATTTTCAACCTCATTTTGGCACACCTCCGGTCTAAAGACTGCAACAGCCAGTTATTCTTTTTAGGGTGTAATGGCTTCTTCTCAATATTTAAGAATATTCGATGAAACGAAGACGACAATTTTGCGAATGCGTATGCAGCCGAATGAGAATTGGATCTCCTCGCTCAAAAAAATTTTGTTCGAAAAATCAATGTCCACTGCTTGTTGTTCAACCACCCAATCGACATATGTCCGGTGTTATTAATGGCCAGGTGGTTTCAGCTATTGAATGTGCTGGGTCTTATATGGATGTACGTTCAAAATTCGCCATAATGGATCATTAGAAAGTGGCAGCTCTTAAAAACAAAATAGACAAATGCAAGTCTTCTCTTAGAGTAGCAATAAAAGAGGTGAACGAGCTAACCGCTGCTGCAAATACCTTACGATATCTGTGGCCGGACCAGTCTTTTCTAAATTCTCTAAAATTTTATCAATTGCTGGGAGTATTAGGCAATTAAGTTCATCACAATTTCCTCTTAAAGGTCAAAGCGTAGCCACAATGGAGTTAAAACACTGTACTTTAGAAACCACCTAATGGATAACCCTATATATTTGCCGCTTTGTAACCATTGAAGCTATTTCCGGCCGAGCTCCTCTAATTTGCTTGTGTGGTTTTGCACCTTGATCTTTTTCCCAACAAATGGAGAAACTTACAGTTTATACCGCCTCCAAACGGCTGATAGGTTTTTTCTGAGAAGCCATTATTTGATGTCAGAAATACACTCGGAGAAGTTGCCTTTCCCTTAGAAAAATGTATTTTAAAAATTCTTTTGGGTGTTGGTAGAAAAAGGGCACAACTCGGGCCATCCCAATACTGTAACACAGTGCTAATCACTCAGCTATTGCGATAGCTGTTTATATAAATTTGGATAAACATAGATCTTCTGAGCTAATGCAGTTGGACTCCTAGACAAATGATTGGTTTTAATATAGTTTTATGCATGTACTTTAGTGGAACGGAAGATGCTTTGCATTAACTTAATCTTCCGGGTAGTGAAGCCGGTACCGTCCTATTCGTAGAAATTGTGTTTATGTTCCGATTCACTCCATCAGGAATGTTGCATCTTAACAGTTTAATTTATTTTAAATTCTGTCTCATTTTCACTACTGAATATTTTTTCTTTGGCCTTTTCTCTTAACTCACTCAGATAGAACTCAGAGTTATCGCCATTATTGCTTAGCAGATGCCTGATCTCTCGCAAGTGTCAAGATTTTAAGTACATTATGTGTACATTGTACACGTCTGTCTGCATATGAATCTGAACGATACAAAAAAAGGGGATTTTCGCAAATATCGTCCTACTTAATTGCATTGACAAAATGTTGATCATACGACATGGCGAACGTTTCATTTTTTAGCTAAGATTTATAATATTTAAACCCAAGAAGGACCGGCTTGTGACCTTACTAAGCTTCCGATTAATATTTAGCGGTTTTAAAATACTTCTATATAAATGTATATATAAATGACTTTAAAATACTTCTATATAAATGTAGCAAAAACTCAGTAAATTTAAATTAAAAAAATTAAATTAAAATTAAAAGTAGTAATTCAATACATGGCTGTAATTAACAAATTAAATTTATTTCCATTAAAGTGCTAACCCATAATTACTTTGGAAAAACAAGTCATTAAAATTTTGGTCTAGTAAAAAGTTATCCATAATTTCCGCATTTAAAATCTTTTTGGCCAAAGTTGAGCAATTCTGCGAGAATGCATCTTTTACTCATCGAATTGCTAGCCAGGATCGTTTTAAAAGATTGGCTGTAGTGAAGCAGCTCATATTGGATAATTCCTGAGCAATTTCTCCTAAGACGTAAGAAAATCTACCTGGCCGGCTATAGCGGCTTGGATACTGTTTGTGCCGGCTTACTGCCCTACGACCACGACTCTTTTCCATTGACGTTGTTGTAAATGATACAGCTTTTATCACCACAGTCACCATCCTCTTCTTTACGATTCATCAGCGATTCCCATATGGCAATTCAGTCCGAGGGTTTTTTTCTCCTTAACTCATGGCATTGTCTGCAGAACCATGCGGAAAAAATTATTCAAAATTTATTTTAATAAAAAAAATTAAATAAAATAATATAATATTAAATATAATTAATTAAAGTTTTTTTAAATTAGTTGGCTCACAAACAAATACTAATCTCAAAGCACAAAAAATCAATACAAAAAAAATATAAGCAGTAACACATTTGAGTTGAGTTGAGTTGAGTAACACATTTGAGTTCGAAAGTATGAAGAAAAAAGTGAAGAAACACAAAGCTGCGTTCAAAGCAAATTTTGAAAATTAATTGAAAATCAGCAACAACAAGCAACATAAAACTTAATATAAGGATTATTCTTGAGAAAAAAGAAATATTTTGAAAAAAATAAAAATAAATATATATAAAAATATATATATATATATTTAACAGTAGAACGTGCCCGGATCAATGCGCCGAACAGTGCAATCGAATAAGCGAAACAAAAATCAAAATAAAATAAATAAAATACATGAAGAGCTTAATTCGCGCTGAACCAGCAAGCAAAGCATAAAGAAAAAGTAAATCCACCACAAATAAGCGCACGCACATACACGTACACACACGCACACAATGAAAATGCAAGAAAACTCAGCATAAAAATAAATGTACAAATATATATGTGTGTATATTTGATTATTTGATGGTATCAGTGTTCACTCTTTACGCGCGCGTGTGTGTGTGTGTGTGTGAGTGTGAGTGTGAGCATGTGCATATGTAGTTAAATGAAATTGCGTAATTCGCACATATGTACTCAAGTACGTATGAGTATGTGAATATGCCAATTGAGGTTAAGCTAATTGGAAGGGCAAGCACGCAACTGCCGACGAAGATTCAGTGAAAATCAACAACAACAACTACAACAATGAAAAAATAACATGTATAAAATAGTAAATAGTTGTAACTCACAACAACAACAGCAATAACAAGCAATCACATTTACGCTCAACTAAAGCATAAGAAGAACAAGCAAAACCAAGAAGTAGCTGTAGCAGAAGCACAAGCAAGCTAAAGTACCAATCCAAACAACAAAGCAACAAACAAACAAGCAGAAAATTCCAACAACAACAACAGTAAACAAAACAACAAAAATGCCATTCGGCCGCAAATCACCATTGGAGGCGCTCGCCTTACCCGGCGTCATTTTGGCCTACAAATATAGTCAATTTCGGCAAAGACGCCGCGAGGCAGCGAGTCGTCGTGTTACGGAACGTGAATTGGCCGCACTGCATCATAAAATCGTAAGTAGCGTTGATACCCATTTACCCATGTTCATATGTATTGTATATATATAAAAGTATGTATAAATGACTTTTTATACGTTCAACTTTGTATTCTTATCAACGAAAATATTTACTCGCTTCAATTTTAATAGTCTACATTCAGGCGCATATAATATGATTGGGGTGTTGTTTTCACATATTCTTGTATGCCGGACACGTTGCGTAAACGATGCATAAAATAGCAAATTTGTTAAGAGTGTTAATTTTTGGGGCGACCTTTACTTGGGGGCTCCTCCACTGTGTGGCGCAGATTTTTCTTAATTACCTGTAGAGAGGGTTTACCGGTTTTGAACTGATGTGTTGATGTCTCTTTTACTATAGAAAGGCCAATACGTGATTATATCTACTTGTTAGAGGTGTATGAGATGAGCAGAGTAAAGAAAAAGAGAGGGACGCAAGGCAAGCGAGGGAAAAGGAAAAGATTAATCTACACAAGACTCGCTGGGTTGAGAGGCGATGAGCGAGTGCGGAAAAAAGCAATACACAAGAGTTGTTTTTAAAAATATGAGGCATCTCATCTCTCTCCCAGCATATTTATCTATTCATAAATTTATTTAATTACTTTTTTCAAATCCACACAGCAATTCTGATACGAACTTTTTAGTACAGTGTTTTTTAGACTAGTGAAGTAATAAAATGCACATAATTGGAGGTTATGGCTCTATTACAAAGTTATAGATTTGCCATTATGATTTCGTCCCAAAAGGTCCAGGCTTCGAACACTTTCTGTGATAATGCGCCGCAATTTCTCTTCCAAGGCGTCAATCATATAGGTTTTATCTACATAGACCGGGGATTTTATGTAATATTTCAAAAGATGGTGCAGAAGTGCTGAATCGCACTATCCTGGAGGCCGCGCTACATACCCACGACGCCAGTTACTGCGCTCACCATAAGTTTCCGTCAATTAATGGTACGGTCCTTTGACAATAATTTTAACCTTTAAGTCAACAGTATTAAAATTTTATTGAACTTAGCATCTTCTGCCGGTCTTCTGAGCTGTTTTACTAGGTTTTCATTATAATTTATTCTTAATTAATTAATTTATTCTGTTTCTTTTAAGCCAGGCGCATTACTAATTTCTTCCAAAAGCCCTTAAGCGAAGCTCATTGAACGGCTTATTTGGTTCAAATTCATCAATGTCGGCAGAGAATCGCTGCCATAGTCTTTGCGTTCAGTTTGACAACTTTTTTTATTGTAATTCGACAATTTCCCATAAAAATTTTCTACTGTTTCTCAACTCACTGAGAAATATTATCAGCCTGTACTTTACTCGAAAATACGTCGCTGACGTGAGACTAAAGCGGAGTTCATAACAACAGCGACCCACAGTTCCCAAATACTCGCAAATAGTGGTAAATTAACAACTTTCCATATCAGGCGTAAATGCATTGATGTTTTTTAGAATTTCTTTTACTCTTTCGATGTAACTAAATTCTCAATGCAGTCAATTTAACTTTAACTAGCCTGGATTAGGTTAGATTACGTAAGACTAAATGGCTGCTGTGCATCATAAATATTTTATTGCCGACAGTAAGAATATTTATATACTCCTATTAGGTATCTTTCCCCTTTTAAAACCGATGTAAAATTAGCCATCCACTCCTCCATACTTAAGCCTCCTTCTCTTTAATGTACAATACTTAAAAAATGACGAATAAATTATTAAGGATTTCTGATATTTTCTTCGTGACGTTATTAATATTTCCGTATGCGTGGTTATAATTCAGCTTCTTCCATCTTAAGCTAACATCTGCGAAGTTGACGAATTTTACGCTTAGCTTACAAGTGGTGGACTCATTCCCCTGATTTAATCATGCTTTCATTTACTTTTAATGTTTTTATTCTCTGACATGTTATTTAATGCATAAAAAAGTATACTTTCAATTGTCGTTTATAAATATAATTTTACTTATTTATATTAGTATTTAAATATAAAAATTAAAAAGTAATTTCAAAAAAGTTACTCATACGCAGCGGTAACCGCAGCATTTTTAGTAGCAGAATATTAACTGTCTTCAAAATTACTTTTCAAATATTTTTTATTAGTTGAATTTGAATTAGAATGAGTTTGTATGAATCCTTTATCTAAAGCATTCACAGCTTACAGCTTGTTTTAGCACCGCTCAGCATCACATTCAACACAGCCGTGACATCAAAAGACGAAGAATAGACTTGATATAATGTGTATTTATTTGTAATTTATATTATGCTTCAATTTAAGTAATCTAGGTATAAATTTACAAAAATACATAAAGTATTATACATATGTATTTCTGCATATCTTCTTCTTTTCAAACATATTTGTGGAATTAAATCGCCGACATATTTCACAAAATGACTGATTACCCAAAATTGTGCAAACAAATTAGCGCAATCGAGAAGAATTCAAATGATTTGTTGTTAATACCATCATACAAAATATTTATGTAAGCATATAAGAAAAATAATATTATATAAAGGCGGTGAGGGGAAATAAATGAAAATGCGATTATGCAAAAGTGCGTGATGTTGCGAAGAAAACCTGTTAAATATATACAGTTGTTTCTATTTCTAGATTTCAGAGCATTAACAACATTTTTAACAATTTAGTTCGAGCTTTTGTCTGACATAAAAAATTCTTTCTTTTTGTATTATATTCTTTAATCTCCAATATTAATTAATTATTAAAAAAATTATTTAGATATTCTCATTAAAACCATCGAAAGCTGGCAATTAAGGCAGAAAATGTTTCGATATATATATGGTTATATTTCCATGCAAAAATTATATCTTCGGCTTCTTATATAGTGCAATTAAGAGTCACTTTCAGAAATTATTAAAATTGACTATGGAAATGGTGAACATCTGGCGAACTGTCTCTGACATCTCAAAAACATTTTACGCTAGTCGTGAAGCAACTTTGTCGAACGGCAGTACAGAAATTGATGGAAAAAATGAAACTATTGGGACCAGTTAGTAATGTGAAGAAAAAAAAACTGTGCACGTTGCCCAAGAATAACCGAGAATATTGCTGCTGTAGAACAAACTGTTTAAGGTGACCCAAGTTTGCTCATTCCTCGTCGTTCTCTGCTACTAAGCATTTCACCTACTTCATTGCACCGTATTTTGCTTGAGTTTAATGACTTTTAAAGTTCAGTTAACACAAGAATTCAAGTCGATCGATCATTAAGAAGGTCGTGTCTTTGCTTGCTGATTGGTCCTTGAATGTAATGAAATTGATTCCAAAAGTCCACAAAAAATACCAAAAATCATCTTGCATTGGCTGAGTCAAAGAGCAAGAACTTTGCCATTTGGGGCTCGAAAACTCCAAGATTTATTATTGAAAAACATCTCGATCCTCAACGTGCAACTGTTTGATGCAGTTTATGATTCGGCGGGCAAAAGTTGTGGTGAAGGGATTACGCTATCGAAAGACGATTCATAATCGAATTGTATGCCATCGATCTGGACAAAGTTTACTTACAACAAGACAGTGCTACGTGCCACACAAGCAACGAATTCATCGGTTTTTTAAAGCAAAAGCTTTCGGACCATTTTTACTTTCGAATACGTGAACGCAATTGACTACTAAACTCTTGTAATTTGACATCTTTCGACTTCTTTCTATGGGGTCACGTTAAGCATACGATCGAAACAAATAGGCCAACATGAATTCAAGACCTCAAAGATGGAATTCGAGAAGCTTTACAGGTATACAGCCACCACTTTGTGATTTGGTAATGGAAAATATCATAAAGAGGATATGAACCTGAAAGCGTAGCCGTGGCGGCCATTTCAAAATAACGACTTTTATTAGAAAACCCTTCAATACATGGAATTTTCCTTGCAAATTTTATTTTATTTTATTTTTCTACAGATTACTTCTCACCTCAGTTATGCTACCAAAATGTTACATTATTATTTACATATACCACATAACACTTCTATATATGTACGTATATTAATATGCCGCTCTATTATGTTTACATTTATTGGCACAACAACAAGCAATTTCGAAATTAAAAATCCCAAGCAGCGTGTAAAAATAAAAGCTACTTGTTTACTGAAAATAATAATAAAAAAATCTGCGCATACCAGCACTTTGCACACATCCACACATATTAATGTCATATACACGTATGTGTGGGTGCTCCCAAACACAACCATATACATACGAGTGTGTGCTACAGAGCTTGAGCCTTTTGTGTAGGCTAAACTACATACATACAGTATTAGTTGGGAGGGAAAAAATCTGTAAAGTGTTGACGACGAGCCTCCTGCAATCGTTTATGCATTTTGATGTTGTGTTACTTGAAATTCACTACAAACACATGCATAATAATGTTGTTGGTACTACTATTGTTATACACTCGACAATACATAAATGTGTTTTTCTTTCGTTTTTTTGTGAGTTGTTGTTGTTATTGCTATTCAGGGTATTTTTGTTATTTGAGTACCATTGTCTAGTTATTGTTTCAATTTTACTATGTTTTTATTGTGTTATCATTGTTGTTGTTTTTACTCGAATTTGTTGTAGCTGAGTTGTCTGAGTGTCATCGAAATGTGTTTTATACTATTCACCATTGCCCTCGCCACCTCAGGCCTTGCCGCACACTCCTCTTGTTGGTTGATCGTCGGTTGTGGCCTCTTAAATATTCTCTTTTAGTGCTTTTTAAGGTTTAATGATGCTTTCTGATACTTTGTATGCACATACATAAACAACGTATAGCCACAGTGACTAACTAAATCAACTAATATTAAAATTAAAATAAAAAATTAAAATTAAAATTAAAATTAAAATTAAAATTAAAATTAAAATTAAAATTAAAATTAAAATTAAAATTAAAATTAAAATTAAAATTAAAATTAAAATTCAAATTCAAATTCAAATTCAAATTCAAATTCAAATTCAAATTCAAATTCAAATCCAAATTCAAATTCAAATTCAAATTCAATTTCAAATTCAAAGTCAAAAT